GAGGCATTCGCAACACATGCCCAAGCCATCGCAGCTGTGACTTCTCAACCTGGAGAAGCAAAGGCTGTATACCAAGGATCCAACCGGATATCAGTATTACGGACCATTTCGAGACGTGACTCGTCTAAGAAAGCCCATTTCAGCAGCTTGTACCCAGGTTCGAAGGTTTTCAGTGATGACCGACGACTCATCACCGTAGGTAGGCATGGGGATAAAGATCGACTTGAACATCCATAGCTTAGCTTTTAGACTGAGCTCAGTCTTAATCAAAATGGACCGGCTATTTCACAGAACGCCACTGGCTACTCTAATTAGCCGGTCCATCTCTTGTAATTTTCCATCAGTAGCAAACACGACCCCCATAGGTACTTGAACTTCTCCTGCCCAACTGCTGCCTGTCTGCCTCCAGTACACTCAATTTTTTACTTTTTAAATAAGCTGTTCTTCACAGTCTATGTCCATTGTTTACGCAGAGAAGAGAAAATTTTTACGAAACAAAGTAGCTGTATGCTGAATGCTGATCCGCTTTGACGACGGAAGGCGAAAGCCAAATCGGTTCATGCGCCTTTGCAGCTAACCTGTTTTTCGTGCCCTCTGAGGTCGGCTAACGAAGCACCCTGAGTCGATATGCCTCATAATGTTTTTGCAACAGTTCAGCTTCAGAAAGAGAATCCAAGTGCGAAGCGCAACTTGAACTGGACGTTTAACAAAGCATAGAAACCTCTGGCCATATCGTCTATCTGCTGAACAGAAAATAACGACTAATCGGAAAGAAAAAATAACGGTTGATTCGAAGGAACAATGCTGACTAGATGAGGTCAAAACATGCTGATAAATTAAGTACTTTCGAGATTTTTGAGGATGACGTAACCCGTGGTGGTTCATGCACATTACATGGAAATCCGACGGAGCGTTTGTTCTTCTTTTTCAATTATCAACCCTTCAAGAACATGAAATCTTCCGATCCACCATATCGTTTGCCTTGCCAATGGATAAGCCGTGTTCCTTGCTCTTTTGAGTATTAACGAACCAAGCGCACGAACGCAAAAACGAAATACTCAATTATTTGCATATATATTTTACATACCTCACAAATTCTCATAGAAAACTGTCGCAACATATTTATAAACCATTCTGCATTCGTCTCCTGTCAGTTCTCTGGATCTGACAGCGCGATGTGTCTTTGCCTCTAATGACCTAGGAGACCGTTTGGGCAGGCCACGATTCCATCATGTCGATGCAAAGCCGTAGCTTTGTGCAGAGTGAAAGAAAACCAATTTGGACACCTGCTGAAACGTGACCATGCGTGAACATTTATGGACATAAAAATGTACCCGGGTATTATGGATTTCATGAAAAAAAGTACCAGTCGTCGATACCGCCAGTAAGAATAACAATCTCCTCTCAATTCTGCAGATTGACTAGGCGTAGTCGCAACTTTTTCTTGCTTTTAGACATATAGCAGATCGTTTGAGCAGACTCCAGGCTCCATGACACTTTTTTGCAGTTGTACTTCAGCTTGACTTCGCGGTACTAATATGCGTCCTACGAACAGTGATACTTCGGTGGATACCCAAACAGGTGTTTGTTTGGCCCTTCACACTGACGTGGGTTTGTGCCGATGCACTGCAAATGCTAAATACCATATAGTCGTTGTCTCATTAAATTGTCCACTGGGTACTGGAGGCAGACGGATAATGCAATCACGTCGTGTAAGTCAAGAGAAGTGACTGGTGACTGCCATTCTTACTGTCGGTAGAGAAAGTAAGTAGTTTCTATTAACCCCATAATACTATTGTCCATTTTTATGTATATACTCTATTTTACTGGTAGTATTGTTGTTCTTCTTAAAATCTAAGGTTGAAAATGTTACCGTCATTGAATAAGTGTTTTCTGTTTCAAAAGGTTCGTTTGACCAATACAGGCAATGAACTATGGCAGAGCAGCTCCGATTGCTACTTTGAAAATCTCCGGGATGGCATTCGGATGATTAATCCTTTTTTCGGTTAAAACTACTTTCATTTTCCTTAATGGCAAATGCTCATAGTGTCTGAACAGGAGTTTGCAGTTTATCAGTGCAAAAGTAGACTAAAGTAGCTTACTGGTTTGATAAGGGAAACAATTTTTACTTCTCATGTGTAATGGGCGCAACGGTACCGAATAAGTGAGCTATGGTTTCGACCACATGTGGAAGCCCAAGTCCTCTTCCTTCAGGTGCTGTGCATGAAGAATTCCGACTGGTGATACAGGCGACAACCGGACACGTTTATTTCAGATACTGTATCTGTGCAATTTATGAGGATCAGAAATTTTGCTCAATTTTGCTAAGTTACGATAAAGCTCGTTTCCAATTACACGGTCAGCAGTGTGAGATAGTAGGCACAGCTTTTGCTGGCAGCACTTACTTTCCATCTGGTCATGCAGACTGCAATGCAATGACAAGTTTAAGCAGGCCAAAGTAGATTGTCAATCAAAACCAGTTATTCTGTTGGTTAATAATGGCCGAAATGCCAGTCCTGAAAGAGGAAGTTTTATCTCTCACCTCGCCTTGCAAACCAAGGAATCGGAAGCGATAATCATCCTCAATTATCGACTACAGGCAT